TCGTTAAAGATAACATTAAGTTTGATAAAATTAAGGAACACAGACCTTTCATACAATTGCACAAACAAGTACCGACATTGTATCCCAAATTACGTACTTCTTCCGGGAACATTTCCGTGAGACCCAATAATCTTTCTGCCAGACTTTCATCCTGAAAACAAACTCGGAGATTGCATTTCTCGCGACTATACGATCGAACTGCAACGCGAAAAACACTGAGTCCACACCGAGTGATAGAATGTTGGTTAACCAACTCCAAAGATGAGATACAATGGTTATCGAGAAAAGTCAACAAACAATTTGCAACGATACGGAGCTTTGCTCGTTCGTAAAATTAACACGCTATGATGTATCGAAACGGAATACCTCTTCGTCGTCCTCGTCATCAGGGAGAAGCGATTTCACCTCGGGAGAATGTGCGTCGCTACTACCCATACCGCTGTCCAATTGATCCACTTCTTCGACTGAAGGCATATGAGAAAACAACCGACGATTGACAAACGAACGAACGACGTTCTTTATTTTTACGAATAAAGATTTAAAATTCACCTTCTTCCACCACTCTGGACATCGTAAGTCGAGATAAACGTTATACGTGTGGAAATTCACGCCGGTGCAAAGTAGATACGGGAGAACTCGCTGTCGTCGTACAAGTTCCCAAATCGCACGTACTATGGCGCATGTTCGCACGATTGTCGAAAAAAATCCCTAGATAATCCTTGCAAGCATAGATTTCTAGACGTACATTACCAAGAGTAATAGACGTAGACGCGTCTCGCATATTTCAAATTATATTCCCACAAATTTGTAAAAAGTAAGAGGCGGAATGAAAAAAGTAAGATAAATAATTTAACGGAGAAATGTACGAAACGATCCGTCCGTCCGTCCGTCCGTCTTTCTTTCTTTCTTTCTTTCTTTCTTTCTTTCTTTCTTTTCCCCAACCCCTCTCGCTTTCTCACTCGTGTCGTACGTCGTGTCGTGCACGAACTAAACCGTAAACGTCGTCGGTTTTTTTCGATAAAAGTTCGATATTTTGTTCGTGTCGTCAAATACGCGTATTTATATTTTGTAATTCGATCGGCGCGTAAATGGTATCATTTGTCTTCCAAAGGTAGCTCTCCGATCGTTAAGTTCTTGAAAATGTCGATAAAAACACTTTCTTGGTATCATTCATGTTTTCCTTTACTTTTAATACACGTTTGTTCGTTCATTCGCAACGTTCGAGGTATATTCGTGTTTGAACGAATTTCTTCCTACGTTACAGATATATCAGAAGCGTCAAACGTAACGCGGATATCTTCGAAGTTGTTACGTTGTTACGAATTTGAAGGAAATGGCGAACACAGGAGTATTACCCTTCGTACGTGGGATTGATTTTAGCAACAATGACTTTGGCGTAAGTACGGTTCTTCGTATACGCGATTCCTACGCGTGCAAGAGCGTAGTAATTTTCGATCGTTGTAATTTCACAGGGTGGCAAATTTCCCGAATCCGTACGCCTGATGACCGGTATACAATGGCTGAAATTGAACGAGACCAATTTGACCGAGATTCCAGAAGAAATGGGCAAATTATTGAAGCTGGTAAAACTGTCTGCGTATGGACGTTTATTTTTTAATCGTGCGCAAAGTTTGGAACGAAGCTATCGCGACGAAGGTTCTTATCGACAGTTTGATAGGACGGGACCAACGAAAGTTAAATCTTTCTTCTGTTGTTAAAAACAGGAACACCTTTCGTTAGTTAAGAACAAAGTGGAACGCTTGTACGGAGAATTAACGGAACTCTGTTGCCTCAGAACGTTGAACATAAGACGCAACAACGTTAAATCGAGCGGTATTCCAGCAGAGTTGTTTCATCTGGAAGAATTGACCACGTTGGATTTGAGTCACAATAATTTGAAGGAGGTACCAGAAGGTTTGGAGAGAGCTCGATCTTTGTTAAATCTGAATTTAAGTCACAATCAGTGAGTATCGCTGCACGTCTGTCGTGCACGAACGTAATCGCTAATAACTAATTATCACGGTATCACTTTCAGCATCGAGACAATTCCAAACACGTTGTTCATTCATTTGACCGATTTGCTATTTCTGGATCTTAGTTGCAACAAGTTGGAGACGTTGCCACCGCAGACTCGCCGCTTGGCAAATTTACAAACTTTAAACTTGAATCACAATCCATTGGGACACTTTCAATTGAGGTATGGAAGAGACAGATCGAGACGCGAGAAAACGCTTGAAACGTTGTTGCTGATCTTTCGAACGAGCTGACCTTTTTATTTTTACTTTTATTTTTATTTTTATTTTTATTTTTATTCAGGCAATTGCCGTCTTTGATGAATTTAATAGCTCTACAGATGCGCGACACGCAAAGGACGTTGAACAACATTCCGTCGAGTTTAGAGACATTGACGAATCTGCAGGAGCTGGATTTGTCGGAAAATAATTTACCTCGGGTACCGGACGCGCTTTACTCTCTGTTGAACTTACGTCGCTTGAACTTGAGCGACAATCAAATAACCGAATTGTCAACGGCGATTGGTAAATTTATCTCACGTTGCGCGATGTACGTCTCTCTCTCTCTCTCGTCAATGTACGCACGATGAACGTCTAGTTGCATTTTCATTTCAGAGCTTTGGACAAAATTGGAAACGTTGAATATATGTCGCAATAAATTGACCACGATACCTGCCTCTCTCTGTAAGATCGTTACTCTCAGGAGATTGTACTTGAACGACAATCAATTAGATTTCGACGGTATTCCTTCGGGCATTGGCAAACTATCGTCGTTGCAAGTATTCTCAGCGGCCAATAATCGTTTGGAAATGATACCCGAAGGTTTGTGCAGGTACGTTCATCATACGCTCCTTCCTTTGCTCCTGCCGCAATGCTTCTGCGCAATTCTACGTACGTATTTCTTCTTTCCTTCCTTCCTTTCTTTCAGATGTGGATCGTTGAAGAAATTAATACTATCTTCCAATCGACTGATCACCGTACCGGACGCTATACATCTTCTCAACGATCTGGAACAACTGGATTTGAGGAATAATCCGAATTTAGTAATGCCGCCAAAACCAACGGAAGTTCAAAAAGGTTCTGGCATAGAATTTTATAACATTGATTTTTCTTTGCAACATCAGTTGCGACTTGCTGGCGCCAACATTCCCACGCCTGTTCAAACTTCTGGTGAGTCTTCTGTCTTTACCGATAATACATATATAATCGATTATTTCCATCGTCTACCACCGCTCTACGAATGGCAATCTTTTTGCAACCGTGCTCTACCCCTACTTTACTTTACTTTACTTTACTTTACTTTACTTTACTTTACTTTACTTTACTTTAGGTAGCAAGGATCCGATAGCTCGCAAAATGAGATTAAGAAGAAGACGAGACCAAGAGGAAGCCGATCAAGATCAAGCCAAGATATTGAAGGTACATCAGGAAATTGGAAATAAATATCGGAGAGAATCGTTCGAATCGTTCGAATCTTCCTTCTTTTTGTTCTTTAGGGTATGAAGGACATAGCAAAGGAGAAAGATAAAGACAAAGAACGCGAAGCAGAATCGAAAGCAGAATCGTTAAAGTAGGCATTGTAAAAAAAGTCGTTGTTCGACGATTTACCAGTCGCTTTTCTTTTTTCATCTTCTGCTTCTTTCAAGGCCCAAACGATGGGACGAAACTCTGGAGAAACCACCGTTGGATTATTCCGAATTTTTCGACGAAGACGCCGGCCAGGTTCCTGGTCTATCCGTGTGGGAGATAGAGAACTTTTTGCCCAACGAGATAGAGGAAGTGGCACACGGAAAGTTTTACGAAGGTGATTGCTACATCGTTTTAAAAACCGAAATAGACGAAGCTGGTTCCTTAGTTTGGGCGATTTATTTCTGGATAGGGGAGAAAGCTACGGTGAGCGTGCTTACGAAAGAATCGACACGTTGTTGACTAAACGATACACGATGCGATTACATTACATCGGTCGAACAACGAGCGATCTTTTTTCAAGTCGATGTATCTTGTAGTTGGACAAAAGAGCTTGCGCCGCGATTCACGCGGTAAATCTGCGTAATTACTTGGGCGCGCAATGCCGTACTATCAGAGAGGAACAGGGCGAAGAATCGGACGAATTTCTAATGTTGTTCGAGTCTGGCATCACGTACATCGAAGGAGGTCGTACATCGTCCGGTTTCTACACGGTCGAAGATACGGTTCGTATCGTTGCGTAGTATCGAATGTACTAACCAACGATCTATCCAACGATCTATCTTGTTGCAGCCGTCGATAACACGATTGTACAGGGTACACGCTGCCGGTGCTTCGATCCATTTAGAGCCGGTTCCCGTTCGTTTCGATTCTCTGGACCCGGGTTTCGTGTTCGTCCTGGATACTGGCAACAAGATTTTCATATGGTACGGCAAAAAAGCGAAAAGTACGTTGAAGTCGAAAGCCAGATTAATGGCCGAGAAGATCAACAAAAACGAAAGAAAGAACAAAGCGGAGATTATAACGGAAATTATGACTACGGAGTCGGACGACTTTTTGTCGTGTTTAAACGTCGAAGATGTTTCTCAGGTGCCAACGATTACCGTAAGTTGACGATGATTATTTCCGTAATACGTAACGATTCCGACCCTTAATAAATCTCACGTTTCGTCGTTTCCATTCTCTTCGTTGCAGGAACGTGAAGATGCGAATTTCACACCACTCGCGCCACGTCTGTATCAGGTACAACTCGGTATGGGTTACTTGGAATTGCCACAGATCGAAGTACCTCATGGGAAATTGACCAACACCCTTTTGAACAATCGCAACGTTTACATATTGGATTGTCACGTGGATGTTTATGTTTGGTACGTACTCGAAACTGGCCACGTAATTAACGTAATTGCGACGCGTTTCTTCGATTATTGCATGTGCATCACGTGCGTGTATATTATTATGCGTAGGTTCGGCAAAAAATCCACGAGGTTGGTACGAGCAGCGGCTGTTAAACTTTCTCAAGAGTTGTTCAACATGATAGAACGACCGGGATATGCAATGGTAACCAGATTGCAAGAAGGAACCGAATCGCAGGTATACATTTGACGAACATTGAGCAAGTTGAGGGAATTTCGTAGATTCTGTTACAGTTGACAGAGAGAAAGTTCGTAACGACATCTTCCTTTTTTTCTTTCTAAATTAGATCTTCAAATCAAAATTTGCCGGCTGGGACGAAGTTATAGCGGTTGATTTTACCAGAACCGCGGAGTCAGTCGCGAAAACTGGCGCTGATCTGACTAAATGGGCGAAACAACAAGAAACGAAGGTACGCGAAAGAAACGATTCCTTCCCCTTCCTGCCGCGTACGCTTCAAACTAGTAAAACAGTTTTATTCCGACAGGCTGATTTAGCCGCGCTCTTCATGCCGAGACAACCGCCTATGTCGTTTACCGAAGCTCAACAATTAATGTCGGAATGGAACGATGATTTAGAAGCGATGGAAGCGTTGGTTTTAGAGGGGAAAAAATTTGTACGATTGCCGGAGGAAGAATTGGGACATTTTTACAGTAGCGATTGTTACGTGTTTCTCTGTCGTTATTGGATGGTACGTGATGATGATCTGTGTATTTCTTTTTTCTTTTTTTTTTTTTTTTTTTTTTTCTATACATTTGAGCGTTTTACTTTGTCACTGGTCGTTACAACAAACGACGTATCTTTGTATGTTCGATCTTTGCCATCGTCTTAGCCGTTGGACACAACGGAGAACGAGGACGGCGACGAGCAATTCGAAGAGGATTATCAGTGTACGGTGTATTTTTGGCAAGGTAGAGACGCCGGAAATATGGGATGGCTCACGTTCACGTTCAGGTGAGGCAAGGAGGCAAATCATCGTTTCTATCGTATTTATCGTTAATCGTAAGACGTGGGTAAGACGATCGACGCGCGTCTACGTTCGGAAACTTAAAGATACAGTTTTCATCGACCGTTCTTCGCAACGTAGCCTACACCGGACGTAGACGCGTTGATATATATCGCAGTTTAAAGTGGAGCACGCACGCGTACGAGTAATCGTATCTTATTTTTAGTTTACAGAAGAAATTTAAATCTTTGTTCGGCGAAAATTTAGAAGTCGTTAGAACTCATCAACAACAAGAGAATTTGAAGTTCTTGGCTTACTTCAAAAGGAAATTTATCGTTCATCGTGGTAAGCGTAAACAGCCTAAAACTTCCGGTAGTAACAAAGTTGAATTTTACCACTTGAGAAGTAACGGGAGTGCATTGTGCACCAGACTGATACAAATACCGGCTGATTCTACGTTACTGAACTCTTCGTTTTGGTACGATCGTTGACACAACTATTTCTTCCTCTTCTTTTCACTTTTCAACGAAGATTGTTCGTCCTACTCCCGTTGTACTCTACCGTGTTGTACTTATTCCACAGTTATATTTTAAACGTTCCGTTCAATAACGACGACGAAACGGGAATAGTATACGCCTGGATTGGTTCCAAAGCGGACAGCGAGGAAGCACGTTTGATTCAAGAAATCGCCGAAGAAATGTTTAATAACGTACGTATATCGTATATCGTATGTCGCCTGATAATCTCGGTTCAATTTGAAAATTGCTATTAATCTGCTATTAATGAAAAATTAACAGCCATGGATAAGTTTGCAAGTGTTGAACGAAGGCGAAGAGCCGGACAATTTCTTTTGGGTAGCTCTTGGTGGGAAAAAGCCATACGATACCGACGCGGAATACATGAATTATACGAGACTGTTTAGATGTTCAAACGAGAAAGGATACTTTACCATCAGCGAAAAATGCACTGATTTTTGTCAGGTATGTCAGGTTGAGATAAATTTACCAACTTACTACGTTTGTATCGGTAAGAATTGATACCGTTTTAGGATGACTTGGCGGATGACGATATCATGATACTCGATAATGGCGAACAAGTATTTTTGTGGTTGGGCAGTCGATGTTCAGAAGTAGAAATTAAATTGGCATACAAGTCTGCTCAGGTAAAAATACATCGAACGAATGGTACAAGTATTCGATTTTCAAAACTTTCGAACGAAAAGAAAGAATTCATTTCAAAAAACTGTTGTAAAATACTACGTTGTCGATATACGATAAATTTACGTTAAATTTCAGGTGTATATCCAACATTTACGAGTGAAACAGCCGGACAGGCCACGTAAATTGTACTTGACGGCAAAGGGGAAAGAATCTCGAAGATTTACCAAATGTTTTCACGGTTGGAGTTCGCACAAAAGAGCACCTCAATAAAAAATATTTAATGCGATATACGAAAAAAATTGTAAAATCTATGTTACCGATAGATTGCGAAATTTTTTGCATTTAAAGAAATTTGAGTGTGAAAAATGGATGCAAATGCAAATAACGCGCAATGATACGCAAAATATTTAAAATACAACGCTTCTTTTAAACGAGATAAATTCGATTTCATTTTTTAAATTGACTTTGTGAAAATACAAATAATCGTACGAACAGTTATCAGTGGCTGTCGATAATGCAAATTTCTCACGAAGACAGAAAAACGAAGCAACTTTCTAACGTCGAAAGATGTTACTGCGATTCTTGAAAATTCCATTAAAAACTCGCAAACTTACTTTCTCACATTACGTTTATTTTCGAATCTATCTATATCATAGCCATCTATCCGAAGCGATATTTACAAAATATTTGCATGTCGCGTATACCCAAGTACGTGCATTTCCTATATATATTTAACGGGAACATTTTGGAACACGTACGTATTTGTAAGTGCAAAATCTATTTGTTTTTCAACGAAGATTAGTAATCAGAGACGGACACCGTTTCGATTTTGCGTACGTTAAACTCTAAAACATAGAATCAAAAAGAAAGCGCATAATTGATTTAGGTCAAACGATAAGTCGGGAACTATGTGCGTAAAACATTTGCTGTCCCGTCAGATCAGACACATTGCACCATCTTGAATCTTTTCATAAATTGTCACAGACCTTGAAACGGAAAACGACATGTAGAAACAAGAGCCTATTTTCCTCGCGAAGAAAGATCGATACGACGTACGACTGTCGAGGATGAACTAGGACGAACTTGTTTGCACAAAGAAGGTGCGTTTCAAGGACGCGTAAAAAGATCGACGGAGGCGTTGCGTGAAAAATATAAATTAGGTGAACTAGGACTAGCTTGGATTTTTGTCTTCGAGTAAAGTGCGTACCGCGTGAATTAATCGTCGTCGTCGTCGTCGTCCGAAGGTACGAATAGCTCTTTCTCTTCGAGGAAATTAGCTATCATTTTGCTTAAATTAGTTCCTATGATCAATCCTGTTACGACGCCGGAAAGAACACGCAAAAAGCCGAAACGTATTTTTTTCGGTTCTGGTAGAATAGCACCTGAAGGTGTTGTTGTTCTTGGTCGAAAATGTAACTTCGTTTCTCCATCGATTTTCCTCAAATTGCCGATAGTTTGGAGTACGATGGATGTGCGTTGCAATGCCATTTTTCGATTTCAGTTCAAACTGAACGAGCACTGAAAATAGTAATACAAGTATACTGTGTGTGAAGTTATAAAAGAAATAAAAATAATAGTAACGAGAAATAACGCGATTATTGCACAGGCAACAAACTGAGTACGCAACGTACTGTACAACGTCGCTCGTATATTACAGTTACAATTTTGCGAGTGGCATAAACTTCAGCATTAACAGACAAAAGCGAAACATTCTTAACCTCTTTACGACGAGTTTGAAATATCAACTGGAAAGCTCTTAATGATACACACGCACACACACGTTCATATCCACGTGCACACACGCACACACACCGTATTTTGATTAGACGCAGGCCCGGTGAAACGTCGATGATACGAGTTACGTTCAAAACGTGATCGCTGTCACGAGCAACACGAGCAGCGTAGCATAGCAGATAAAGATCGGATGTTACTTCATCGCACGCATTCGCAGCACGCATGCGAATGATACAAAGCGTGACGAACCATGTTTGTCGAACCGATAGTGACAAGTATAAAATATTTAACTAAATACGGGACGAGCCCGACGTTAAACGAGACTGCGTTTCAAAATATGAAATGCCAATCTGAAAAGATCTAAATGTTTTTAACGTCTTTTAAGATTTGCCACCTGATAAATAGAGGAATTACAACTCAATCGCGATAAAATCAGTAACGTACAGGTTATGTATAAAATGATCTTTGTTGATCGAACTATCGAAAGAAAGTGTCGTGTCGAAAGTACGACTGAGAACGGTACATTATAGCTTGTCATTCTCGGTATGTGCGATTTAAATGCATATGCAATAATGAAATATATATATACACTTATCAACGAAAGTATTTACACACTTATTATTTTTTTTATAAATTGCCTCCCATCAAAAATGTAGCGATAAAAACTTCGAAACTTACACGTATACTCGTGCAAGTCTTGTAAAAAATTTTAGAAAAAAATGATTTTAAAATTGAGTAGGTCGATAAAGCAGATATAACCAAGCGAATTTTTTAAAAATTGCCTCCTTGTGCTGCCACGATGTTATGAAGTAACTCTTCATTTCGCAAAGTCATTTGATTTCGAAAAACGCTAATTTGCGACTTATAAACTCTAAAATTTCAACGATGAAATTTCGAATATAAACACTCGGAAAACATAGGTTAAAACAGACGGTAAGAAACATGGAGAAAGATCGAAAATATAGAAGAATACGGTTTCGAATTATCACGCACGTACGTTTAATTAAATTAAATTTAATTACATTTTACTCACTCTTGATCCAACCGGAATTACAAATCTATATCATCCGAAATATAAAGACGTGTAAGTATATACGTACCTGATCCATTTTAAAATCTCGAAAAGAGATTAAACGTAACAATATAATTTTCATCGTATTACTCGAGCATACGGGACGTTGGATTTCTAAATATACAAATCTTTCGTATAAAAGTATCGCTAACAATCGTTTATTTTAATTTACAAGAAATCAAATGAAATTCTAATTCTTGATAAAATTATTGAAATGAACTTGTTCGTTACAATTGTAATTACAAATGATTATTTTTCAGCTCTTAATTTTAATGGAAAAGGATTCGATTGATTCTTAAGTTTGTTGTCACAATGGCAGCACGTGTTACAATGTACATATTTTACACAGTACTTGGGGGAAGGTTTTACAAGTCGATCAAAACTAAATCAAACACTTGTTGTTGTCGATTGAAGATAAAAATATACTTGTTCTTTCTCTTAAGTAGCGTTATTAAGTAGATATCTGTAAATACGCATATTCGCGAAACGGAACAAATTTTTTTTATGACAAATGTTATCGTTGTTTCTAGTTTTCTCCTTTCAATTGTATTTTTCTTCGATCTGTCTAGGTGGTCGTCGATAGAGGGGAAAAAAAACATCACGAAAAAAGCGCAATGTAATATAAACAAAAATGTATTTTAAAAATTTTCTGAATATATTTTAAAGAGAAAGAAAGCACGAAGGAACTCGATGTATCGACGATTGCATCGATCGATCGATCGAGATGATATCGTTTAATCTCAAAATCTTTTTTTTTTTT